TTTGTGCTTGAATGAATCAATTGTGGTCGCAGAAACAATGTGTGATGGTAGAGAGTTCTAAGTAATGCACACTCTGAGGGCGAATAAATGACGCCGGCATTCTAGTCGGCATTTTTGGAGCACTAATTTGATTGAGTGCCCCCTCAGATGAGTATTGGGAGACAAGGCAAAGAGTGAACGACATGAGTGGTCTGGGTTCTCCATTATTTGATATACCAAGATCAAGTCTCCTCGCACGCAGCGATACTGTGTGGAGTACAGTTGCAGTGATTCCAGTCTTTCCGCATAACTCTTGGAATGCAGTCCCTTGACCATTTTGGTGGTAGTAGTGTGTCTATCATAAAATCTGTGGTGAAACACAGTGGAGATTCACGACACTATATGGTGATACTAAGGTATCTTCATATGGGGAGATCGAACCAGGAATTGGGAAATAGGGATGTAACGAATGGACCCCTGAAAACAAATACAGATTTTGATCAACCTCGTGCAACACCCAGACTTTCGTCACATTTGTTCCTCACAATACTCAGTGTTTCGAGCATTATCCATCGGCTTGCACGTGGTATTGCTGCACATCAGACGTGATACGTCTGTACGAATATCCACGTATGCTTTTGCTTCTCTCAGGCAGAATGTTCTTGTAATGTATGATTTCTAGATTTCAATGACAGTGACTGGTGCGTCAGTAGTGGAACAACAAAGTCTCAGCAAAAAAACAACATTAGAATTTACTTATAGAAGTAAGTCATAGACTTGATATAGGCGGTGGTGGCCCGGTGGTAACGTCACCAATTATCATCCCGGAGAACGAGTGTTCGAATCCCACCACCACCGCCTGACTTTCCCCATTTGTGTGTGTTGTATGGCAGCCCTCTGGTTGGCCGCCTCCCCGTTCCTGAAAATCGTATCTTTGTATACTCAATAAAAGGAAGTAAAATGAATAAAAAAAGTTACACTTTCAATTCGTCAATGTTCTGTTTGTTCTGCTTTATTTTTGAACACTCAAGTTAGTCGTTTTTGCATGCGATCCACCAAGTTGATTGCCGAACAACATTTGTCAATTTCCCCAGATGAATACCGCACCCTAGGTGTTCAATAATGACTTCATTTCAGATGAGCTCAGTTGCACTTCAAATTGAGCCATCATTTTCCAAACGGGGGAGGGGGGTGTGAGAAAATTCACCTGGAGTATCTATTCTCCACATTAGCTGTGTGTGTGTGTGTGTAACTTTTCCGAGCTGCGATCTAATTCGATTTAATCGGGTTTCTTTCTCTACACGGCAAAATTACGCTGATTATGCGATCAATTTTGTCTATATTCACATCGAAGTACTTGCACAAGTCAGGATTTGAGTCATTGGATTTATGCGCTCCTCAAACAAGTTGCCTCCCAGGCTCAACTGTGTATGCCAAAAGCTATTGGATTTCTTATCATGCTTGTGAATTATCACATAACAAGACGCTTATTCAACGAGCCGCATAACTAAAGGTCAACTTTTGTGTTCATTAGGATTTCGAAGCAGAATTCGTCCTGTGTATAGCAAATGAAGCGTGAACTGTAAAGCTAGAAAGCACTGGACAGCTGTTTCGACCTGGTTGAGTCTCATCATTAGTGTGAATCAATCGATTCAACTGGGGCTCGAACCCGGGACCTCACAGGCAGAACGAAAGCGTGCTACCCACTCGGCCACCGGACAGCCGATCAGACAGCTTTTTATTTTACATTTACACAATATAGCACAACCCATGTTGGCGAACCTGTTGCGGGCCGCAGATCTCGCTCTTAGAATTTATATTTCATTCCTTCAGGATAAGGGATAATATGTGAATAGTTTGCAGCCACATGATTTACCAATTTCTTAAGGTTGAACAGTTTTCATTAATCGACTTGTTTGCTTTGCACCGGTTGAAAAAAAGATAAGCTATTTAGAATAGATAGGTAGGCAGAATAAACGGCTTCATGGAACGGAAAGTATTTATTAGAATGATTGAATTTGCATACTTCTTTGCATAAAAAATTTCAATTCTGAGCTGTAACTTTCGAATCACTACAAATTCTATCGCCATGCTCAAGATCAAGCCAATTCAAATGAGGATGCAACAGAACTAAGAACATAACAGTGAAAGATGAAGTTCAGAATAAAATAGTGACACTCTTTATCAATAGCTGTCGTCATAAACACAGAATATTGGCAAATGAGTTATGTCACTGGAGTTCGATCAATACCAGTGGGCCATCGATTACTGGCCCTTTTATTATCTGCTTCGAGCAAGCATTTCCGGCTCTTGTTCGCTAATGATGCCTTACTTTTTCCATGCTGTGATTGTTAGCCGTTCAACCGGGCTGTATAAAAATTGGGTGACGTGATTAGGGGATAACTAATGATGACGGAATGTGAGTTCTGATGTTCGCAAGGAAAATCAGTTCACCAGGTTTCGGATACGTCTAACCTCGTTCTATGCTCGTTCTGTACACAACACACGATCTTCCAAAAAGAGGAGTTCATTTGTTTGACCTGAACGAACGTAAGTTCTGTGATGTGATACTCTACCAGAACTCATGAACGGTGACCACGGGGATTGAGAAACCCGTATACCGAACAGGGGGCCGATGTGATGATCAACGTTTTCTGACTCGATGGGAATTCATTATCCTTGAACCCATCCCAGTCAACTGGCGTTTCTGTTACGGTTGGCAACCAACAAACAGAGAAGAATAATCCACCCTATATCTACCCTGTGTCCAAGTCACTAATTTTGACAAAACTAAAAGGTAAAACTTAGAATTTCTCGTCCAATTGTCATGCCGGATTTGCTCCACGCGGAACACGTTTCACGGCACATCGTATTTGTGATCCATGATGAGAATTCGCGGTGCTATCATTGTTTGCTCATTCCCGAAAGTTTTACGAATCGCTAACAACAAAACCAGGTGCTCGGGGTCTGGGGGCGGGTTCGTATGGCTATACTTGGATAACATTAACCAATCCACCGGGACTGGTGAATTGCAAAGCGATTCAGTAATATCTGGTCAAAAAATTACCGATAGCGACCTTGATGATTGTGATCTAGAGATCCCATGTTTTCGGACAAATAGTCATTTTAGTTAAATTTACACACTGCCTTTCACCTGTAGAACAGAACCCAAACCTATGGCAACTGGAATTAGAATTCCCAAGATTGAGATATGCGCGTATCGATTTGGCGATCTTATTCTCACCGTAGGTCTCAGATAATGACCCGGGCATGGTTTGGTCACTATCTGTGTGCATTTTCCATTTTCAGAGAAGTATTGCTTTACGGTGTTCAGCTACGTCTTTGCCTTTGATCAATTTCTTCGAATAACATTGACGGTGTGTATGTATGTTGCCCTGATCGTTCAGTAAAACTCTTTACTTTCAAACCAATAACCTCCTAAATCTGTGTTCATTTAGGATACTGAGTTGATCATAGTGTGATTTGCAAGCAATTTAATCCATCGGACCGGAAAAAGGGTCGGGTTAAATGATCCGAGACAATTAATCTCTTTTTCCGGATCGATTCAACCCGTCGAGAGAGTTAAAAGTGACCGGCTCCGTACAATCTGAGGTCTATTGAACGGACCATGACAATCGCACGTGGAATAATTTATTTTAACCGTCTAGTGGGGTGAGTACAGTTGCATGGTATAAGTAATTATAGGGTTATATACAAGGCCAACCCCGGGCACATTTGGGCAAGATCGAGAAAACGATAGGTCAGAGGGAGAACGGAAAGGAACACAAAAATACACAATTCAAATGTTGATCCTTGGATAAATACAACACTCTCCCGCCGGCGGGTCCAGTAAAGGGCACTTAAGAGTGAGGAAGATTTTATTTGCAACTCTAAACGAATGTCAACGACGGCTTTTCAAAATACGGTCATGTGTTTGTTGTGCTAATTTTCTATTCCCATCCATGGGACAGAAAATTGCGACTGATCTATCAACTAACCGCATTCCAGTTAACAGAGTCGAACAGAATGTATTTTGCCTCGTATGAATGAGAGGCATAAAATGTCAAAAATATTCAACGGAGTTCGTCCTCCCCCCC